CGAGACTGGGGTGCAGTGGCATGATCTCGGCTCACTGCAACCTCCACCTCCTGGGTTCAAGCGATTCTCCTGCTCAGCCTTCCGAGTAGCTGGGACTACAGGTGTGTGCAACCACGCCCAGCTAATTTTTGTAGTTTTTAGTAGAGACGGGGTTTCACCATGTTGGCCAGGATGGTCTGGATCTCTTGACCTTGTGATCTGCCCGCCTGGGTTGTGGCTCCCCCCGAAGGTGCCTTGGATTTTGAAGTGCTGGAATTACAGGCGTGAGCCACCACACCATTTCTAACAAAGAATCGTTGAAGAATGGACTTCAGACATTGTTGCTAGGTCTTCTACAACAAATCTTGAACTCTAAAATGTAATTTTTATTGGTTGTCTTAATTCATGGCCATAGTAATATTTAAAAAGATATCTCTGTTTTCTGAAAGATATACAGTATATACTTGTGAAATTTCTTTGTTAAACTGGAAGAGGATCTTTTTTTTTTTTTTAATCACAGGTGCATAGAGATAAAATAAAAAGTCAACCATGACTCCTTGGGTTTCCTATTTAAAGAATTGAGGGTCTATAATCTTTCTTAAATTAACAGTAGTTTACAAAGTAGCTCATATACATAACAACATTTGAGTCTCCATTTTGTTACTGTATCTAAATGATGTGATTTAATCTCAGTGAAGAACCTCTGATAAGATATATTGGACTATGTAGCTGAACACAGTGTGGCAAGGAGAAAAAAACAGGGAATTAATTTTCAGCTGTGGATCTAGAGTGGTGTCATGTTTGATTTAATTAACCTATGATTCTGACCCATATTAGAACCATCTGCAGGCAAAATCAAAATGGCCCAACAGTTCCAAGAGCCTCTCGAAACAGCGGTGATTGGTACTGGGGGAGCAGCGACATGAGAATGGAATTAGAACTCTTTTAATTATGGCATTCCTGGTTAGGCATAGACTTCATCAGCTAAGAGAATAAAATGCTGGATACTGTTAGGGGTATGGTAGAGTGAGAAATAACTTCTTCCATACTCTTGATGTCTCCTTCTTTTTGAAGGAAATTATAATAACATAATACTCCTGACCTTTCTCTTCTCCACAGGAGGTGGAGTGGCTTACCTGATTGATGATTTTAGAAGGAGAAACTGAGTACATGTGTTCTATCCCTTTCTTCTCCCCTTCCTCTTGGGTGTGAGTGGACTTCTCCAGGGCAGGCTCTGCCCCTTGTTGGGAAGCCTCTGTTGTTGGCCAGTGCTGCCAATGACAGGGGAATGAGTATGTCTGTCTGTCTGTCTGACTCTGTGCTTCTGTATTAGGAAGTCCATGTCTGCTTATTAATAAAGGTGATATTTTGACCTCCATCTGCAGACTCATTGTCTTATTTCTCAGTTGATTCAGAACCACATGGGAAGAGTAATATTGTTTACTGTATCCCCCTCAAGGTCCCAAACAATTATTTTAAGTGATATTATTATATGTGTGGAAATAAAATTGCAAACAAAGAAAACAATAGAGTTTTGGTTATAATTAAAATAAACTCAGTCATAATAATGTCTAGCAGGTCCTGGAAGGAAAGGAT